GGAGAAGAAGATAAAATCACCAAGAGCTGGATTAAGTAGGAAATAAAGGTGAGACAAGGAATGCACAGGCTGGACGAGGAGGAACAAGTTACAAAATGCAGGAGTAAAACCCAACTGGCTTCCATGATACCCCTTATGCACTCTGGCAGTCCTTTAACAAGAGTGAAAATGAGCAGGTGGTCTCTGAGCAACTGCATTCTCACTGCTGGAGTCCAAGAATGTCTTTGTGTGTCTCTACCTCTGTCAAAAGAGGAGTTCCATAAGATTTTTCCCCATTGGAACATGAAATTTCAAGGCCAATGGCAGGATTCAAACAAGGCAGAGCAGAGTCTGATGGATCACAACAAAAAAGGTTTCTCACTTTTCCCTTCGGGTGCTCCACATGCACCTGAAATATGGGACACACTCAAATTACCAAAAAACCACCCAGGTTCCTACATGGAAAGAGATCTCTGGCACCTGGGAGCAAATTACTGAAGCCTGAAAAATGAGATTAATACCTGAAGTTGCTTATTTCTTAAATTATATATTGCAGGCAATCCAGTGTCTAAATCACAACACAGCTGGGAAGGTGACAGGTTTGCTGAGTATCTTCTATAAGTAATTAACAAAAGTTAATTTTAGCTTGATTCTACACACCCACAAAACTTAACTGTGTTAAAAGATGTCCGAACTCTCATTTTTGAAATCTCCCTTAAAATACATCATTGCAAGACTGTATCTAAATAATTCAGGCTAACTGTTTAATTCATTAATATCTAAATATTTGCACTGTCATGTTATATTGCAGTAAGGCATTCTACTACCCCAGCTTCTGTTTTGAACTAATCAGCAGAGTATTAGTTTAATAAGATGGTTCTATTACTGTAATTCCAAAAAGGAACACATCTTACGTAATGGAAATTATGGAGGTGGATATTTATACACATTAAGGCTGTGACATACTGGACAAAACATACAATCTGCATTCCTTTGTCTCTCTGCTACTTCTGCTGAGTTATTTCAAGGTATAAATCCAATATTGTTAGAGGTAACAAAAAAATAAAAGGCTTAGTCAAGTCTCAGTCAGACTGTTCAGCTTTGCTGGTGCAGAGTTAACAGATCAAGTTACCTCTCACAAACACTCAAACCCACGGTGTTTTAACAGAACAAAAGGCACAGAAAATGGGAAAAAAATAAGTAAATATGTACCTCAGATAATAAACCCAAAACTTTGGTTCACTTCAAGTTTTACATTTCAAACCCACCCAGTCTGACTATCTAAAATCAACATTTAATGCTCACAAAAGAAGTGGGAACATAATTAGTAGGAATGACAGCACGGAGAGAAAGAAATCTTTTCTTTATTCACAAAAAAAAATAAATGGTTAAAGCAAAAGTGGGGTAAGGCTCACACAAATATTAGGCATCAAATCCTATCAAAGGACTATCATGACTAAAACCACAATCAATGGACAATTAGGACACATCGACTTTTGGTCATAACATTTTCTGGACTTGTTTGAAGTGGTAATTTTATAAAGTTAAAAATATCCAGGTCATATTTCATAGGAAAAAAAAACCCCAAAGCTGCTCAAAAATTAAGAACTAAAAGTCTGTCTAAGCCAAAATGGCTCTGAACATTATTTGGCACCCAGTGCTTAATGGGCATAAGGCCTTTTAATCCAATGCTACTTATTAATACATAATTTCAGGGTTATTGAAAGAAAAGTGGTCAAGACATCAACTTTTTATTATGAATCTTTGCTTATCCTTGATTCCAACAAGCTTTTAACATAACTCACTTGAACATGTATGCCAGCATTAACTCCCTGATTCATTTATCCCTCCTCCCACTGGCACTTTAATTAACGTGAAATGTTGGCATTCATGAGAAATGGTACCTGTTTGTTGAAGTCAGCCACAGTATCATCCTGTAGGAACTCTGCTGGCACTTCCAGTTTCACTAAGAAACGTGCCAGGTAAGCTCTTGTCTTGAGTTCACTGGTCCTCTGAAGAAGCCAATGCAAGACAGGATGAATTACAGTTTTGCTTCCAGTAACCAGCCCTTGGCGAAAAGCACTCCTGTATGGAACAAACCAGGAGAAAATGCCAATAAACTTCCAACAAAAGGATGATGGCTTGGAACAAAAAATCTGCAATGTTTTGACATTCCTTCTCCACTTGCCTAATGATTTTCATAATGCTGTTAGAAGAGAAAATGCTCATGATGAGGCTTGGGTTTGATTAGCCTGGAAAAGAGAAGTCTGAGGGATCTGCACATCCCAGAACCTGAAGGGATCACAAAATAGAGATGGAGAGGAACTTTTTACCAGGACAATGGGAATGTCCTGGTAACAGTGACAGAGGGCTTTGAATTAGGAAGCAATTCTTCCCTGTGAGATTGGTGAGGCCATGGCACAGGGTGCCCAGAGAAGCTGTGGCTGCCCCATCCCTGGAAGTGTTCAAGGCCAGGTCGGAAGGAGCTCAGAGCAACCTGGGACAGTGGAAGTCAGATAAAAACCCCGTAACACGCGAAAAGGATAAAGTCAGCAGTGACAGCCTTGGAGGATGCCGGCAGAGCGGGAGGAGCGCGGGATTTGGGATCACCTGGCACAGGTGAGACGGGACCGGCACCGGCACCGGCACCGGGACCGGGACCGGGACCGGGACCGGGACCGGGGCTGGGCAGGGCCGGGCGGCGCCCTCTGCCGGCCGGAGCCGCCACTGCAGGCAGCGCCCACCTGGAGCCACACCTGGGACCCCAAAACATCCACAGGAACATGGGAACAGCGCCCAGCTGGGACCCCAAAACATCCACGGGGACACGGGAACAGCGGCCAGCTGGGACCCCAAACCATCCACGGGAACAGCGCCCAGCTGGGACCCCAAAACATCCACGGGGACACGGGAACAGCGCCCAGCTGGGACCCCAAAACATCCACGGGGACATGGGAACAGCGCCCAGCTGGGACCCCAAAACATCCACGGGGACACGGGAACAGCGCCCAGCTGGGACCCCAAAACATCCACGGGAACAGCGCCCAGCTGGGACCCCAAAACATCCACAGGGACACAGGAACAGCGCCCAGCTGGGACCCCAAAACATCCACGGGAACACGGGAACAGCGCCCAGCTGGGACCCCAAAACATCCACGGGGACACGGGAACAGCGGCCAGCTGGGACCCCAAAACATCCACGGGGACACGGGAACAGCGCCCAGATGGGACCCCAAAACATCCACGGGGACAGCGCCCACCTGGAGCCACACATGGGATCCCATTCCAGCATCCATGGGGACATTGGACAGTGCTCACCTGAGCTAAAGGTCAGTACCATATAACCCAAAAAAGATGTTTTAACATGATTTGTAGGCAAGAAGGTACTCACAGGTCTGACACCGTCCCTGGAGGTTTGTATTTGAGGATTCCAAGGAGATTCAGCATTCTTTTAGCTGTTTGCTCCGGCAGCTCCTCTCTAATGTCGACAGCATGCTGAAGGGGTTTTATAATTAAATAAGTAATTATTCTGTGTTATTATTCATATAGTAAAAATTATTTTAACTATTATAAAACAATCTATTTAATAATTAATTACTAGTTTTTAGGATAACACTATATTTTTCCTACCATCAATTATATTAATTTTTTTTATAAACTTGTTTGTCCAAGTGAACTTAATTATTTGGCAAGACAGCAAGAATTGACTTTATTAATTTACCAGACAATAATGAGATGCTCTGTACAGAACATCCCTTTAAATCATGAAACTTCAGTTCTCTTTTAATGGATTTTCCTGTCAATTTACTCAGGAATCTTTTCCCCCTGCTCATGGGAACTCATCTGTGCAGTCACACTGGCCACATCCACCTGAGAAGTCGGAAATGCTGGCACAGGTACCCACACCCCAGGTGTATGAATGGTCCCTTCTGATCTCACACACGCTTTTGGCAGCCTCCAAGGACTGGGATATAATTTCCATTGCAACAGCACAGTCGTCAGGTTCAGTTCTCCATCAGCTCCTGCCCTGGGTGCGTGAAGGACACAGCCTGACTTTGACTAAACACAATTGTCAGTATGAACTAAGATCTTTAATTTCACAGGAAAAACATCGTCATCAGCCTCTGCGGAACGGGGATGCTGCTGCCCTGCCCCAAGAAGCATTTGCTGGTTTGCCAAGAGCACTCAGATGTACAGGCAGGAAGGATTCTTGCCAGGCACATTTATTTCCTGGAAGATTCACACAAGCTTCTTTTGGTGAGACAAACACGCTGCAGGATTATACTGAGCCAGGCTTAAACAAAAGCAAATTCTGGTGTCAGGCCACCTCAGGAGGTCTGAGCACCTCTGAGTGCCCTCCTTACCTTCGAGTCAATCTCCCCCAGAACATCACTGAGCAGCTGCAGCAGCTGCAGCGGCTCCAGGGAGTCAAACGAGATCAAATTGTAGTTCTTCCTGAAGGGCTCCTGATTGAGCTTCTTAACAATGAACTGCATTTGTTCACCCATAACTGTGTCCCGGGAAAACCTCTGCAGAGAACGCACAGCAGATGCCGAGGGGGGCGGGGGGCGGTGAGCGGGTCAGGCCGCCCCTCGGTGCCGGGAGCGGGACGGGCCGGGCCCTGGCGGGGCTGCGGGAGCGGGTCCGGGGCTGCGGGAGCGGGACGGGCCGGGCCCTGGCGGGGCTGTGGGAGCGGGTCCCGGAGCGGGCCCTGGCGGGGCTGCGGGAGCGGGTCCGGGACTGCGGGAGCGGGACAGGCCGGGCCCTGGCGGGGCTGCGGGAGCGGGACAGGCCGGGCCTGGCGGGGCTGCGGGAGCGGGTCCCGGGCCGGGCCCTGGCGGGGAGGCCTCGACCGGAGCCTCGCGCGCGCGGTGGCGGGGCCGGTTGCCAGGAGACGGGCGCGGCGTCACTTCCGGCGTTGCCGCCGAGCGGCGCGAACCGGGCCGGGGCCGGGAGGCGAGGGGGGCGCGGTCTGTCACGGAGGGGGCGTGGCCCAGAGTGATGAGGGGGCGTGGCCTGGCCGTGAGGGGAGCGGGTGATCTCTGAGGGAACCGCACCGGGACAGCGACCGGCACCGGGCTCCTCTGGCCGATCGTGGATCGCTGCCCTCACAGCGAGGAGCCCTCCCGGTGTCCCCACAGCACGCCCCGGTCAGTCCTTCCCGCGGCGCCCCGCAGCCCTGTCCCGTCCCCTGCCCGCCGGGAATTGCGGCTGAGGGGCGCTGGGGCGGACACGGCACAGGGCAGGTCTCTCGTGGGGCTCCTTCACGGAACAAGTGCGAGGAGTGGCAGAAATAGGTCCGGGATTCAGCCTCTGGAGGATAAACTTGGCTCTGAGGCTCCTTCTGAGGGAGGTTGTTGTCGCATGTGTAGGAGATGTACAAACAGATTGCTGCAGTTACCCAATTAAGATTTCTGGCAGCCTTCGATAGCACAAAGGGATGTCAAGTGTGGCTGATGTACGTGTCAGGTGAATGGTTACTTAATTCCTTCGAAATGGAAACTGAGGATCCCTGTGGATCAGGAACAGCCAGTCCTGGGCCCAGGCTTCATCTCCAAATGGCAAATTTATGTCCTCGAGGCTGAACATCAGTTGTCAGCATGCCTCAAAGTAGCAATAAATATGTAGTGCATAAATCTGAAACAAGGACAGCAGCTTCAAGAATACCAAACAATCCCAACCAGACTATAAATTAAAGTCAAACTTGCTCATGGAATCTCTCAGTCTGCAAGTTTGTTCTCGCAGATCCTTCAAAAGCCATTCTTAGGCCTGAAATAGTTGCCTTTTGGAGCCTCTCTGCTATTTCAATTAGGTTCTTTGATAGTCTTAGAATCCCATGTGAGTCCCCAGATGATGGATTAAAATATGCAGTGAGTCATGTCAAATTGGTGCTAATTGAAATGCACAGGTTGTAAATCACTGCAGAATTTGACTCAGTAAGTAGCAACCATAAATGTAATACTTTGCAATTCTAAGCACTGCGACTAACTTAGATTAGCTCCTCTTTTCCTTCTGAGAACATAAAATGCTTCATAAAATAATTTCATAAAATGTGTTGGTCTTCACGGGAAGGCTGGGAAGTGACACTGATTGGTGTCTGAGCTCTTAACTGGTTAACTGAAGTGAAAAAAGGGATGGACGGGTGCCTTGAGGTTGGGCATGAGAACTGTGGTAGAGCCAGGAACATAATACAAGTCTCCTGACTCCTGGATTTGAACTTCAAAACCAGATCATGTTTCCTTTGTGCTTTCAGTCCATATACTGACCTTTAGGAATCGTATTTACCTACAAGTTCCCAGAAGAGATCTGCTTTCCTTTGTCATGCTTTCCTGGTATCAGTTACTGTTTTCCCCGATGAGTATTTTGAGCATGTAGAACACAGAGAGAGCAGATGAGAATGGTATTTCTGATGGAGGTGTCTGTGAGTTCCCCAAAACTTAATCCTGGAGAAACGCTGTTCTGTAAAAACTGATACTCATCCTTTCTTCCTCAGTGCTGAGGGGAAGGCAGTTGTGGTGAGGGTGGAGAAGGATCCGGGCTGTGTGCACTGGGAGCTGCTGCTCTGAGATTTTGCTTTCTATTGAGACTACTCCAGTCCTCTCACCTTCCCAGAAGGAAAGGAACATTCCCCTCTTCTCAAGTCTCTGTAACGTTAAAGTAGAGGAAGGATGAAAACTTGAGATAATGCCAAGATAAGAATTAAAATAGATGGTGAGATGGAAACCTATTAAATCTGGTTATTCTGACTCTGGGAAAGGAAACCTCCATGACCAGGCAGTGTTAGAACTGGACTGGCTGAATTTGTTGTCGTGTTTGAAAGCTCAAGTGATTGGAGGCAGGAGCAAAATCACACATTGGAGCCCAGTTTTGTGGGACTTCTCAGCTTGGGGAAAGCGAGAGAGATCCTGTGTCATCCTTAAAATTTTATGCTATCATCATCCTTTCTTCCACCAGTTTTATGCTCTCCATACATGCAGTCCCCTGGCTGCCCCCCTGCTCCTTGGTATTTATAGTCCTCAGTGGTGTCTGAATATTCAATATTACTGCCTGAAAGAAAACAATCAAGGCTTAGCTCAGTGCTTGACCTCTTTATCACAAGAGAATCTTCACAGACATGAAAGAGATTATAAGCTCTCAGTGCAGCCTTGGGTAAATATTACAGGAAGCAGCTGAGATTTGTTTATGCTTAACTTGTCTTAAGTTATCTCAGTTTAGGTGATGTGCTATCTGAGTAAATTCTTACAGACTCGAGGGCCAGTGTTCCAGTATATTTGTTGTATAATTCTGGGGGCATTTTCCACAGTCCCAAATTAGTTTGCATGGAGAGTGATACAGATTTTGAAGGAAGGTTTGACGTGAGAGTTGTTTATAAGAGTTCAGCTCTACAGTTGCATCCAGTTCTCTGGATAGAATTTGTCTTTTATTTAGTTTGGGAAAGGCTTGTGGAAGCTGCTTATTGCGAAGACATCCTCCACAAGGTAACTTGTGGAGGACAGAGAACGGAAAGAAACAATCCAGAGCTCTCTGGATCTGCAGGCACAGCTTCACTGCTCCCTTTTTTCTCCTCCCTTCACAGCCACTGCTGTGCAGATGCTGCCGAGCAAAGTGACAGAGCTCAACCAGAGAGAGCAGCAAATCCGAGTGGGACGAAACCTGAGCAAATGAGAATCCTGCTCCCTGGTCAAAGAGAGATCACCTTATATGGGAACACCAGGGACAAGAGCATGAACGCGTCCTGCTGAGGTCAGATCCCAGCAGATGGAAGATGTTAGTGTGAAAAAAAGAGCATTTAGGAAGTGGAGACAATAATTCTGCTTTGCTCAAGCAATCTGACCTCTCCTGTTTGTTTGTTTCTGTTATTATACATACTGCGCTGTATGTACACATAGCTCTGTGTTATATTGAAAATTAATTTCTTTATAGCTATTCTAGTACCTAAATGCATCCTCAGCCTGCTTCTGGTTCCCACTTGCAGCTGTACTGTGGTCAGCTAAAGCCTAAGGAGTGATCACAGACGTCTTTAAAAATTAAGCCTGTTCGTACAGAATGTGGCTTGTTCCTGTGAGCTGAGGCATTTAAGACAATACCAACAGCCAAGAAGTCTGTCTGGTTCTGAATGTTTTGTCATGTCTACAGTTGTAAGTGATTTAAAGTACTAAAGGATTGGAAGAAAAACAATAGATCTGTGTTGGAGGGTTTGTATATTTTGTGGCTTTATGAGAGTATTCTGTTGCATGAGAGAGGATCCTGGTCCTTTAAATCTGTGTCTAATGGATTCTTATCCAAACTTGTGTCTTTCAGACTCTGAGCCTGGGATTTACAGGTTGGACCTTGAGAGCTGTGCACGTTCCCACCTCCTGTGTGCACAGTGTCAGTGGTGGCCTCACACCTCTCCCTGCCCCCTGGACCAGATGCACACAGTTGGCTCAGAACACACTGAGCAGCTGCAGCTTTCTGTGACTGTGCAGCAGGAGAGGCACAGCCAAGGTATGTGCCACCAGCTGGCTCTGCTGAGAGGAGCAGTGACTTCATCACTCCTTTTTGATCCCAGCACCTGATATAAAACCAGTCTAAGACCAGGTGGAATGGTGTCCCAAGCAATAGGAGATAAGAAGCTGGAGATCTCGTGGCCACTGATGACCCCAGAACCCCACTGCTCTCTGCTTTGCTGGGCAATGCCAGCCCTGTGGAGTGGGTGCTGTGTGTTCTGCCCAGCCCAGAAGAGCATTACACCTTCTTTGCACTGATGTGAAGTGCTGGGGGTGGAAAGTCAGGCCCAGAATAAGTTGGCCTGATGCTGGCTTCCATCCATTTAGCCCCAGTTGTCCCAGCATTACTTCAGACTGGCAAAGTCTGGCAGTAGATGATGCCATAGCAGCAACAAGACCAATGACGTGGTGTTAGACCAACCACCTTGAAGGTGGATGTGGCTGTGGATCCTCCGAGGTGGGAGTGTGGCATAGGATGTTATTTAACAAGGAGGGGTTGGTTGGGCAGAGCTTTCTCAGCTTTCTCTAGAGAACACACAGTTTTGTTTCTTGCCATGCTGTTTGGTTTTGTTTCTTGTCTGAAAAATCCAAAATAACTCCACTGATTAGTCTCAGGTTTACACCAGTGTTTCTGAGATTAGAGCCTGCTCTTTAGAGCCTCCTGTTCAAGGTCAGATGAAATGGCCAGTCACCCCTTGCAGCAGATTCCAAGAACAATAAGATGTTTTAGGAATGTGCCATAATTGAGTGCCTCTAAAGGGCAAATTTTGCACTGTGCTGCCAAGCAAGGGCTGTTTTCAGTGATAAGTTTGCTGAACAAAGTCTGCTGAGGTTCGTGGAGTTGGTTTCATTCTCCTGGGAGGGCAGCAGGCCAGGACATTGCGCACACTGATCCAAATCGCACCAAGGATCAAGTCTGCAGGAAACCCAAGTGGCCTTACTAAGGTTCTGTGCCCACCTTCTGCTACTCAGAGCTGGGTTCCCACTGCCACTTTCCAGCAACACTGTTATCCCAAAGCACTGTTCTCCAGGAGGAAAAGGCTGAAATGCTGTCAAAATAGAGGATATAAATAAAGGAACATCGATCAGTTGCTTTGTATTTTTGTTCTTCAGATTCTATTTTATCTCCATCCAGAAAAGTCTGTAGTTAACCTGAATTGGTACAAGTGCTTGTGGCTTGTTTTTCAAAGCAAGCCTTTTATATCACTTTTATGTAATGAAGAAAGTATCTTCTGAACATACAAAAGTTTTTCAAACTTGATGGTGCTTTTATGAGTTAGATGAGCTGAGTGACATTCCTGTCAGCTTTGGAACAGAGTTGTCCTTCCTCCTTAACACATCCAATTAACGAGAAAGTAAAAATGTTAGGCCAAGGTTTTTGAAGCAATCAGCATGAGGCACAAAAATAGTCACTCTTAAAAATTAAAGCTTATGTTTTTTAAGCTCTTTTAAAGAAAACCAACATGGACAAGACACTACCATCTGTGATTGAAAAAGTCAGAGTCTAGGTGCACAGCAACACAGCATGGGGGACAGTTTTTGCATGACATCAAGGCCTGCTGCAGATAGATGCTGTTTCCCAAATGGCATCTGAAGGTTCAGGATGTCACCCCACATTGTCTGTGTCATTTAGGATGGGAAAATAGAAATTCTCTTCTCGTGTTCATCAATTCAAAGCCAAAAGCTGTGAAAGTGAAACCAAGGCTGAGTTTGATCCAGCTGATGTGTCTCATTCAAAAATTCTCTCACCTACGTAAAATGTCCATCTGACTTTCATCTTGGAGTGCGTTTTGTTCAAGAATGGTACAAAGAAGTTGACATGGTTTATTCTTATGGGCTTATTTGTCTTTTCTGTTTTGTCCAGACAGTTGTCTAGCCACTTCTCACAGACTCTGACAGGAGAGAATTATGTTAACAGCTCAGTCAGTACCAGTGTGAAGGAAGTGGCTCACAAAAGGATCTGGGTTATAGCAGAATACACTGTACCAATGCAGGCAAGTCTTCAGGTAATGTCAGTTCAATATTCAGAATTCAGATTTCTCCCCACTTTTACATCCTTGGTTAATTGGCTTATGTTGTTGAATTAAGCTTCTAGCTGAAACACTTGATTTCTCAATCTATCACCAGACCCAGATATGAAACTTAATATAAAATTTTGAAGGAAATTACTTCACTCTCAGCCCAAACAATGACAAGCACTGTTGACCCAAGCAAAGGGCTAAATAAGGATTGATGAGGTGTGGCAGGACCATGGTTTGGGTAGTTCCTTCTGCAGCTTCCTCCTATAGAAAGCTGTAACAATCTGAAATGTCAAGTTGCCTATCTTACATTTGAGGAGGACAGGTGGAAACTGTCTCTAAGTGGCAAAAAACCCTTGAGTAAGAGTTTATTTCTTTACAAGAATTTAAACAGGACAATGTGTAAATTATAATGCAACTGTCAAAAACATGTAAGGTCTGGGTTCCCTGTAGAATCCATAGAAAACCTTCCTAAGTAAGTGAAAGACATACCTACATTTTTTTTTTGTGTTGAAAGAAAGACACATTGACAACATACAAGATACATTGAACAAAATTTAATTGACATGAAATTTTAAGGTACTCCCTCTGCCTAGGCACTTATAGATCTCATCTATGTAAACCAGCTCTTTCCTTCACAGCCATATTGTTAACACTCATTATAATACCCAGATAATTGACTTCTACCAAGCTGCCCTGCTGTATGATCCTGCAGTGAAGTCACAGCCTTCAGTTTGTGCCATCATGCAGCTGCCATAGAAATAGCTTTAGGTGTCTCAGGCTCATCTTGAATTCACTGGAGACATTTGGCTCATTAATTCAAATGTCAAGGAAAAATGCATCAACGTAAGAGAGCTTTAATCAGGGACTGAAATAATAATAATTTTAAAAGTTTCCTAATGTGGGGTTTTCTTCTGCAAGAAAATGTGGAAGTTCTCTGTGGCTTCATTTATCATATTGAGGTTCATTTCACTTCCCCCTGGGTAGATTGGTTGTCTGTGCTTTGTGCTGCAGGCTGCTGTTTGGGGATCTTCCTCAGACCAAAGAACAATCTCATCATCCTCCCTACACAGATCATGAAAGCCTCAGTGTTATCAATCTCATTGAGATAACACAGACAATGCTGGTGTGACCCAGAGTAGGATGGAAGGGCCTCATAGCCATCTTTTGTTGTAAGCCCATGACTGTACAATATCCAAGATAAAAACATTCTATTTCTAGTCTGTAGCAGCCAAAGAATGAAAAAAAAAAAGTTAGAAACTGAAAAAAAATATTTCAACTGAAATTATGGAATTGATACTCTAAAGAAGTGAATTGTAATGAATTTTAGTTCCTCTCAACCAACTTTGAAATACACACATAAGAAACCAGGTCAATTAGCACTTTCATTAGCTCATTTACAAACCCATATGTATAAAATATAAGATACATATAAGTTTCAACATTTATATCTCATCTTCTCCCTAATTTGGGGTTTTCTGCAGAAACAGAGCAGTTTTTCCACTGCCAGGTCCCCTCTAGTGCCCACAATGCCTCCTACAGCTCCTTCTGCTGAGGTTTTTCAGCACTTGAGAGCAAATTCCATTCCCTTCTCATGTGGACAGAGTTAAGGTCTGAAAAAGGCTTTGTCCAACAACAGGAAGGCTGTAATTGTTCATACAGTATCCGGGAAAGATATGCATGAGCTTCCTGAGTTAATGAAATCCTAAGGGTTTGTTATAAAGTTTCAGTGACTGCCAGTCATTTTGAAATGTCACCCTGTGTAGGTTCCTGCTGCGATGTTACTGAGGGAGTTTTGCTTTCAATTACATTGCACAGTTGACACATTCTGCCTTGTTCCCTAACCTTTGTCTAACATGCCAGGAGTTGGTCACTACAGGCAGCAAAAAAAATGGATGAGAGATTTGGTCCAAACATCTGATGTATAAAGTTCCTTCACAAGTTCCATTGGGAAGAAGAAAGAATGGAGGAATCACTAAAAAGCAAAGCTGAGTGTTTATTTTCTACCAGAACAATACCAAGGTCAGAGCCCAGGAAGCTGTGGGTGAGATACTGAGGTAGCAATGTGGGGCTTTGGTTACACCCATGATTGTCTTCATTGACCAAATTCCTTTGGAAGGTAAATCTCATAAGCTACACAGGAGGCCTCCTTTTCCTTCCTGTTAGTTATGGCAGGAGCTGAACAATTGCATGTTGGCAAGAAGGTTCTTTTATTTTGGATTGTTCACTTCTGCCTGAGGCAGGGCACTGTTGTTGGGTTAGCTGGCTGAAGGACTGTTTTCAGAAGAGCTTTGAATCAAGTTCCAGATGCTCCCCAGTGGATGATGATCAAGAGTTTCCCATTATAGGTTCACTAACTTTTAGTTATTTAAAAATTGACATACATGATTAATTGTCTTGAGTGTTATACAGTGAAACTATTCAGTGACTTTCCTGCTCAGGTAGCATCCACAAAGGTTGATTTGGTTTGCAATTAAATCTCATTCATTAACTTGGTTTAGAAGACACAAGAAGTCCCTCATGGAAGCTACACATCATCCAGCTAATGTGCTGCTTGTCATCACACATCTCTGGTGCAAGGCATTGCTCAAAATGCAATGGTAGGAAAAATATTTCCTGCTTAGGAGCACTGTTCTTTGCAAGGATAACTGCTTGGAAGATTGGTTTTCCCCCTTGGAATGGCTGTCTTGATGGAAATTCAAATATTCCTGATGCTTGCCCTTTTAGCAGCTGTGCAGCTCTGGTGTAAATGACCACATGGCTGCGGGGACCAGCAGTGAAACTGCCAATTCATGGGGTAGAAATCAGCACCTGTCAAATGGTGTAAATTCTCACTACTATTATAGCAAGACTTTTATCAGAAGCTATTCATATTTCAGCTGGAATTTGAGACTTGGTTTAGGCTTGGCCCACACAAACAAATGCAATATAGAGAGAACAACTGATACCCAAAACTAAGAAAACCACCCATACCTTTCTTGCTCTCCTGAGCCACCTAACTCCCTGTTATTCTTAGCAACATATTCCTCCCACTGACAGCTTCCCAGATAATAGTGTAGTGGCATAACATTAACTGATGTATTTAAGTAAAAGGAGCTGGTTAATTTGATGCTTCTTTTTGGCCTGCAATTCTGAGGAGTTCTGAAGATTTCGCCATGCCAATAAGCACAATATTCACTTCCCAAAATTTAATTCCACCACGTAAGTGCAAACATTCCTCAATGTTTTCTGAAGAGTAGTAGCGCTCTGAAAAAAATTGTGTAAATTTAAATTCTTTACTCAAAAAGGCTGTGCATTCAGGCCTGTATCTGCCTGAGTGACAAATGGAAAGTTTCTATAATTTTTTAGTCTTATTAATCCTCCAGGAACCAAGGGAAATAAGGAAAGCTTGGGAACACAGCCTCTCAGCAAAACTATTTTTCCCATGCTCTGGTCAATAGAATTGCTTATTCAGCTATACTGGTTTATATTAGGGTAAAATCGTTATAGCACAAGAGATGTGTGATTCAAATAGAGTGAAAGGGATTCGTTTACACAGGTAAAGTTTTGGTGGTGGTAATATCCAAAGAGTAAAGAATTCATCTTAATTCCCAGATCCCAGTTAGGGGCACATATATCTGGAATCTACAAACAAAAAAAAATTCATATGTTTACAAACTGAGCAGATGTAACACAGGTTCTAGACAGAGATAAGACAGCTCTGAACAGGTCAGCTCTGAGCACAAAGCTGCTACAGAGAAGGCTTCTTTCTATACCACCAAGAGCAGATGGGAAATAACTTCTACCCTGAGGGACAGAAAAAGCTCTGATCCTGGAAAGAGTTGGGAAGACTCAAAAAAACCTGACTGACCGGCAGGCTAAAAGCTGGCCCATTAAAAATATCTCTGGAACCATTCAACACAGAAAAAAGGGCATTTCATGTCTGCGCAAGCAAGAAGATAGAAGAGCATGTCACAATGTGGTGTATGGAGTGACTCACTGCCTTCAGAGAATACAAATCATATATTGGTGAATGGGAAGCAAATGATCGCGTGATCTCAGGAACTCTGATTAAACCACTCAGAGTCTCCCAAACTTAGCTCACAGTGGGATGTGCAGGAGAGAGTGGAATCAATTAAAAGCTTGCTCTGCACTGGTTTGTTGGCATCAAGATAGCAAAGCAGAGCAGCAGGGATTGAACCCAAAAAAAAGGGAGGAAAATGAATTTTTCTTCAGGTGTCTCTATCTTCAGGATACCTGGAGATGATAGCTAGCAGAAGACTGAGCTGCTGGCTTTTACACCAGACATATCCTCTTAAACAGTTTCCTCTTTTGGTACTTGAACAGGCAGCCAACTGTAAAACAAATTTTGAATAGCAATGACAAAGGGATCTCTGAGTATCTGCCACTCCTGGAACTGACCCTTCAGCTAAGCAAATTCTTATTCAAATTATTTATTTAAATGAAGGTGAACAGGGCTTAGAGATCAGTCAAGTATACCACTCAAGAAAAATACAGCATTTTGAGTCCTGACAGCATATGAGACTTCTGAGACAGAAGGCATATGGGTGTTGTTATCAGAGTTTGGATATTAGTGTCATTGTGTGGTGTAGTAGGTCTTTCTGTTTAATATAATGATTTTTGTCTGCCCTGCCAGCTTTTCTTTTTCACATTGAAAGCATCACTTTCTTCCATGCTTTGTTCCAATAAGCTCACATCAGATTATTGATACATAAGCTGACGAGAGCTGTGCACCAGGAAAGTCTGGGTTTTGATAGAATAAGGAACTGGAAGTTGGTTAAGGTTCCCATGGTTCTTGCCACTCTCTACTGATCAGAGAATGGAAAATGCTGATGTCCAGAATGCTGAAGTGTGCTCAGGAGTTCAGAGTTGGTCTAGAAGAACATGATTTTAAAGCTATCAGAGCAAGGGCACTCTGTGACCAGAGGATGTATTTTCTTGAGTCAACTAAAAATTGCTGCTTTGCTGTGGTGGGTACGTGCCTGCAGGAGCGCGTTGGTGTTGAAACAACTCGTGAGGTGTCGATTCGGTTTCACTGGGGTGGGTGATGGCAACACACAAAAACAATCCTCCTCCAGACCTGCTGATCTATCATCATTATCCCTATTGTGCTGTGTCAAGTGCAGAACCCAGTGGTGAGGATCCCTATTGACTAATATACAGCTGAACTAAAGGGTCTTAATAGTTTTGTACTGCCTGAAATTCCCATTGCCACTTTGTCAGTTCACTTCACCTCTTCCTGATGATTTATCTGGTCTTATGAGGGTTATAGTGACGTTTCTACAATAAGGACTGTGTTGAGTATCTCAGAACAAGGTGGAGGGTACATGAACTTTGCTTTTATAGCAAAGATTAATTCTGCAAGAGGATAAATAAAGAATTTGGTCACTGTGGATGGAAAGGTGACAGTCTTCAATATGCTCTGCTCTCTTTCGCATGCAGTTGCTTGGTCCTTGCACTGATTTAAGCTGTGCCAGGGTAGGTTTAGGTAGATATTAGGAAGAATTAGGAAGAATTTATTCCCAGAAAGAGTGATTAAATGTTGCAACGGGCTGTCCAGGGAAGTGTTGCAATCACCGAGCCTGGAAGTGTTTAAGTAAAGACTGGCGTGGTCTATTTGACAACGTGGTATTCAGTAACAGGTCGGCCTCGATGATCTCAGAGGTGCTTTCCAACCTAATCGGTTCTGTAATTCTGTGAAAACAGCCGTGGAAAGTCCGGTGCCGCTGCCTCCGCTGGCCTCGGGCAGTTTGCCGCGGGCCCCGGGGCTGCGGGAGCGCCCAGCGGGCGGCTCGGGGCGCTGTGGGGCCGCGGCAGCGCGGCCCGGCCCGGAACGGCTCCGTCCCGGCCGCCGCCATGGTGCTGTGCGGGGCTCTGCACAGCTTCCTCTTCGAGTACGACACGCCGCGCATCGTGCTGATCCGGAGCCGCAAAGTGGGGCTCATCAACCGCGCGGTGCAGCTCGGCATCCTCGCCTATGTGATCGGGTGAGCGGGCGGCGGGGACGCGGCTGCCCGGGCTGACCGCCCTGAGGGGGAGCCCGGGCGGTGGGCGGGAGCCGCCCCTCCCTCAGGGGCCCGCGGCACCGGCTCCGTGAGGGCGGCGGGGGCTGAGGGGAGCCCCGAGCTCCCCGAACCGTGACACGGACGGGGAGGCACTGCTTAACTGGGATTGTGGACAGGATCACAGAATGTTCCGAGTTGGAAAGGACCCCACAAGGGCCAGGTCCAGTTTTTAAGTGAATGGCCCATGGGCCCCTCAGAGTGGGACCTCTCAGGAGGTGATTGTCGTTCCCCCAGCAGAGCTGAGCATAAAAGCTAATTAGAGCCTGCAAATCAGTCTGAAAGTAAAAAATATCACCCCAAATATCAGACAGGAGGTTGCCAATCTTGTGACCCTTTTGTATGGAAAAGCTGTGAAACTCTGGAATGGCACTTTCAGGTAACATGGAAAAAGGAGAAATTCCAACCTGAACTTGTTTATGGTGTTTAGTGTTCCTTGCAATCTGGTTTGTGGTGTTTATTGTTTCTTGCAATCCTTCTCTTTCAGGTGGGTTTTTCTGTGGGAAAAGGGCTACCAGGAAACAGACTCTGTGGTCAGTTCTGTAACCACGAAGGTGAAGGGAGTAACACTGACAAACACATCCACTTTGGGAGCCAGGGTCTGGGATGTAGCTGACTATGTCATCCCTCCTCAGGTATCAGTCACTTTCACATGCAGAAAGAGGGTTTCCTAACAAGAGGGTTTTCTAACTGCTTTGCTAAAGTCCACTGAGAGCTGGAGCAGCTTTGGCTCCAGTGTGGCCATGATGAGAATGAAGCAGCTTTGCTTTGTTGCAGATAATGCTGAGCACCCGCCCTGAGGAAGCTTGTTCTAAGAAAAGTGTGTCTGTGTGTATGCTTGTGTAGAATTATAGAATGGTTTGGGTTTGAAATCAACCAAGATAATCTTGTTTGGAATCAACGAAGATAATCTTGTTCCACCCTTCTGCTGTGGGCAGGGCCACTATCCCATGTTACTCCAAGCCCTGCCCAACCTGGCCTTGAACACTTCTAGGGATGGGGCAGCCACAGCTTCTCTGAGCAACCTGTGCCAGGGCCTCTCCACCGTCAGAGTGAAGAATTCCTACTATCTAATGCAAATCTCTTCTCTTTTAGTTTAAAAATATTCCCCTTTACCCTATCACTATCTGCCTGTGTAAAAAGTCCCCCTCACTCCTTTTTGTAATCCCCTTTGAGTACTCAAATGGACTCTTAAGTTCTTCTTGAGCCTTTCCTTCTCTGAGGGTGCACTGATCCCACTGTCCATCGTGCCCACAAAGACTTGCAACAGAGGAGGATTTTGCAGGCGTCAGGAAGAAGCTGCAACAATAACGACCTGTCATCTTTCTTATTGCTTTCTAAAGCAAACAGCCCCAAGTTTAGTTGTTGGCAGAAGCCACAAGAACTGCAAATCACTTGATGCAGAACTGAACAGGAAGCATTGCTGTTGTTACTGATTGACTGTCTCTTCTGGGAATGTGTGCTGTGTGGGCCATACGTGGTGGCCTTCGGGCTGGGCAGGCACAGCCAAGCTGCTGGTCATGGGTCCCTCTGCCTGCATATGGTGCAGAAAAAAAAAGACAGATTTAGACAGATTTTGGCTGAGTGGTCATATTTGCTTATCAGTGGAGCGGAAGCAGATGACAGATCTGGAGTCATACAGATTTGAAAGTAGTGAAAGTAAAGTAATGAAAATAGTGCTCCCTGAAGAAACAGGGCCAGGCAAATTCCTAACTGATATATTGCACAAAGAAAGAGTGGGAGTTGTGCTTGGACTTGCAGCTGGAGCTCTATTTCTGCACCTGCCCTGAGGAGCTGTGTGAGCTCTGTTTTTGTAACATGAATGAGGAACTTTGGGCCGAGTGGGAGGACAGAAGGAGCTGCCAGTCCCACAGTCCTTCCTCTGGCTAAACACAGCAGCACCAGGCGATATGTGTAGGAATCTGCTCCTTTAGTGCTGCAGCAGCAGTGGCCAGGGCAAGTCCCCTCTGCTGGGCTCTGTCAAGAAAGATGTTTGGTGCAGTGCTTGAATGCTCTTTGCAGACTGTCACTCTTAAGTTTCCTTCTTGTTTTGCATGCTCAGGGTGAGAACACTGTGTTTGTCATGACCAATGTGATACTCACACTGAACCAGAGCCAAGGCCGCTGCCCAGAGGTAGGTGCAGAATCTGCTCTAATCTTGTTCTGTGTCGCTGGGAGTGTGGGGGAGAGGGTTCTCAGAGTTTTATATAACTATTGTTCCTCTCCAGCTCCCAGACGATCAAACAAAGTGCGAGGTGAAGAACAACTGTATTCCAGGATATGTCAGCACCCACAGCAGTGGTAAGAAACCTGCTACAAAAGCTCCTTTCAGTCTGGGTTGTGGTGTCTCTGTGCTGTGCCTTCCCTGCTGTGAAGGAAGCACCATTTCACTTCAGTCTCCTTGTTCTCGTTCTCCCACGTGTAAGAGAACTGAAGTGGAAGCTCAGATTTTTCTTCTGGTGGACTTAGACCAGATGAACTTAGACTGTGTTGGATGGATGCTGGGTATATGTGGGCTTTGGTGAGTTAGCAAACAGTGTGAAGCTTTTTCATGGCCTTCAGTCCCTGTGAAGCAGTATTTCACATGGACAAAGATTTGACTCAGGAAAAGCACCTGATGCTTCTTTCTCTGAAATTAAACTTGCAATGGAAGATAGTGTGGGGTTTGGTAGTGGCATTTCACCTCTGGGAAAATTGCTCTCATCATATGGAATGTCATAGGTCAAAACTGCCTGGTTTTGCTCAGTAGTAACTCCATGCATGTGTCTTTCCAGGCATCCAGACTGGGGAGTGTGTTCCGTACAACAACAGCATTAAGACCTGTGAAGTCTTTGCGTGGTGCCCCGTGGAGGATGACTATCACATACCCAGGTGAGTGCTCTGTCTTCCTACTCCACAGTGCCCCTCCTGAGAGCAGGCTCATGGTACACAGCTGATGCTTCTCCCACTGACATGCTCTTGGGAAAAGCTGAAGAGATGAGCACCAAGAACTCTGCAGAGTCCTGTTTGTGTTTCCCTTTTGTTTTGTAGGCCAGCATTCCTGCAAGAAGCTGAGAACTTCACCCTTCTGGTGAAGAACAACATTTGGTACCGCAAGTTCAACTTCAGCAAGTAAATAGTGAGAGGGTCATCACACTGTCTGGTCTCCTGGGCAGTAAAGGGGATACAAGAACTCTTCTCTTTCTGTTCTCCTGTAGGCGAAACATCCTCCCCACTATCAACTCCACCTACCTCAAGAACTGCATCTATGACGCCCAGACAGATCCCTTCTGCCCTATCTTCCGTTTAGGGAAAATAGTTGAAGCTGCAGGGCAGGACTTCCAGGAAATGGCTGTGGAGGTATTTGGCAGACCCTTCTCTTTGGCTTCAGCTGTTTTTAGAAGAGGAGTGGTAGGGGATTGTCTCCTCTGCCTCGAGGCATGAGCCACAGAACACAGATCAGCTGCAGGATGGCCAGAGGGACTGGAGTGAATTCTATTTAACCAATAATTGGCCTTGCTTTGTTTGGGTGGGGTTATGTGCAAGGTTCTGTAGCAGCAGAAAAGAGTGTTGGACTGAGCCTGGGATTAGAGCCAGTAAATCAGTTCCTGGTCAGCAGAGAGCCTAGTGCTGGGCTGGCTGTTCACTTTGGACTGCCCATCACCTCCTCTCCTCCACTTGACAGGGTGGAGTCATGGCACTGCAGATCAACTGGGACTGCAACCTGGACATGGCTGCTTCCCACTGTGTGCCAAAATATTCCTTCCGGCGCCTCGACAACAAGGACTCTGCCCACACCGTCTCACCTGGCTACAACTTCAGGTAATGTGGCTGTGGAGGGCACCTGGTGTCACAGCTCCATCTGCCACTGGCAGTTGTGGTACTTTGGGGATTTTGATGGGGCTTGGAGAGCAACAGAAGAAAACCTTGAGAGCTTTTTTCATGCTGCAAGACAGAGCAGGTGGGATCCGCACTGTGTGCAAACCACAGCAGAGGTGGGAGGTCAGTGAAGCTCCACTGCATCACAGTGCCTAAGTAATATTTCTGTCAGCTTTTTGGTGGCTGTTTGATGAATGAGGTGGCAATGGGACAACTGACTGTCTCAGGGTGTGCTGATAGACCAGAATTTGAGGGGACTGAGGTGGGGTTGGGAGACTGAAGCATGTCCTTCACTCTTCTTGGGGGAAAAACTAACCTGTAAAAGTGTCTCTGTCAGTTGAAAGCCATATCTGCACCAGGAGTATCCTGGCATATACCACCACATACACATTCTGGCCAGTACAGCTAGGTCCAGCACTTCCAGTAAAACACTAGCACAGAGAGGGCAGCTGGTCGCATCCAGACTCAGACTGTAATATTAAATACAGATTGGCCACCTTGCCAAGATCCTTGCTGGATTCCTGTTTGTGAGCAAACACAGCTCAGGGCTGTTATTTCTGGAATCACAAAATCTCGCTTAGGACAGAGGATCTTTGGGTGGAACTTGGATGAATTTGCTGAGGAGCTGTGCAGAGCACAAATGTGCCAAGCCAGGAGGTATCGGGGTGTCTGGACCATCTGGAGGATATCACAGCTGGATCTGAAATGCTCTTGCTAATTTCAGACTCTGGTACAGCCCCTTACTAATCCTTCCTTTTCTCTTCCATCCTCTTCTCTGCTTCCTCCTGGCTTAGTCAGCCACGTGGCAGAGTAAGTCTGATCTCACTTGTTTGTTCTCATCCCTTTTCCCGGTCTTTTGCCTGCTGTCACCCAGTGCGGGACACGGAGCAGCCTTTGTGCTCCCGGCCCTGCCCTCTCGCGGCTGCCTGGTCCCCTGCAGCCCCTGCCTGCCTCTCTCGTGTAGCCGACTTTCTTCCTGTTAGTCCTGCTCCCCTGCTAAAGCTGCTTTCTCCCCTTCCTATGCCCTGCACGTTTCCTCATTTTATGGTGCTCACTGTTGTCTTGAATTCACCTGCTTTGGGCTTTTCTCCTATGTGAGCTTGCCAGCATGAAATCTCCATCACTCAGGGCTTGTGTCTGGAAGTACCAATGCTCAGCCCATCCACTTAGGATGGGGAACACACCTGGATGTTGCATGATCATATAAGCAACCTCACAATTTCCAGTTAAGCTCTGGCCTATCTTTTCTGCAGGTTTGCAAAATACTACAGGAATAGTGATGGCACTGAATCACGGACGCTTGTCAAAGCTTATGGCATCCGCTTTGATATCATAGTGTTTGGAAAGGTAGGGTGGCAGTTCCTGAAGGTCTTGTAGTGAGGCCTTTCAGAGATGCTGAAAAGCATGCTTAGCCTTGTACCTGTCTTCTAGGCAGGAAAATTTGATGTAATTCCTACCATGATTAACATCGGCTCTGGCTTAGCACTGTTTGGTGTGGTAAGTGACACTGTCTGCACTTGGACTCAATTCTGCATTAGTGCCTCAGTTCTGAGCACCCCATCTTAAACTCTTTCAATCTCCACTAGGCAACAGTGCTGTGTGACATTGTTGTTCTGTATTGCATGAAGAAGAAATACTACTATCGGGAGAAGAAATACAAATATGTGGAGGATTATGAACTGGTAAGCATCAATGAAGGCAAGGTAAAGGCAAAATTGCTTCCTCCTCTGACTCCAGAGAGATTCTGAAACAGGGTGTAGAAAGTCCACATCAAATAGGGATTTTGAACCACAGTTCTAAGGAAACTATCTTCGTCAGAGAAGCTAATTCCTACCTCAAAGTTGTTGCAGGGAAGAGCACTAGAAACAAATATTGTCATGTTTCCTGGGTAACTACTCTTGGAGAGGAAAATATATGTTCAACTACTTGTCATGCTCCTACTGCACCTCCTTTTTGGGTTGCAGTCATTGGCATTTACCTCCTAAGACGTGTAGGGAACAGCCCTGTTCCCATCAAATCCTTCCTTCTTGGCTTTTGGGATTCCTACAGTTGTGAGAAAACTCATTCAATGAGTTGGTATTTTCTGAGACCAGTGTGCTGACAAGCCACGGTTACAGCTCCCTCCAGGAATCAAATGATCTGTTTGGTCAGTAGGATTTAGTTGGTTGCTTGACTAGTGCTGAGGACAGAGCTCAACCCTACAGCCCTGTGCTTGGTGGGAAGTGTAGCTGCAGAGGGCAGATTTCTCATTCAAAACACCTCATGCCACTGGAAAAATAGTCTGAATAACAGGAGGTAGCTTGCCTGGGCAAAGGATTTTATGTATTTGGAAGGGGTAGAAAGAAGAGTTTCTGGCAGAGAACTGTAATGTCTGATCCTTGCAGGGAGTTGGTGAGACATATGGAACAGACTCCTGAGCTCCTGGTGCTCCATGACCAACTGCTGCTCTAAATCACTGCTGGGAACATTTCTTGACCCTGCCATGAGACCTCTTTGCTGGAAGGAAGTGGGGAACCAAACTGAGAAAGGGACAATCTTCACTACTCTTTACTAATTGGGAGCCAGTCCCAGGGAGAGCAACTGGGTCTGCTCATTGTCTGCTCTTTCCAGGTTATTTGCACTAAACACAACTGTACTTTTGTACAAATTGTACTTTATGCCAGACCTCTACACTGGGTGAGCCTGGGACAGAGACAGCTCTGGCATCATCATTTTGCCAGTCCTTCTGTCCCTGAGATCACTGATAGCAGAGGGCACAGGACAATAGGCACAGATTCTTCCTTAGAGTGAACATGGCCACTGCCAGGAGGTGCCTGACCTTGGGACAGCAGCTCCTTGCTGTTGTCATTTTTCTTTCCCTGAAGGATTGTGAAGATTAGCTGAGCCTGTACCTACAATCAAATTGGGGTCTCCAAGCTGCAATGGCCACAGACCAAGATAAAGCAGAGTCTGGCTCCATTGTGCTATGATAAATGGCTTACTGGTTACAGAACTTTTTTTTCTGTTTTGTCTAATTTTTATGCTATTACTTTAAAATTTACTTTAATAAAATAGTACCTTCTCTCAGCCCTCTTGAAGTTCTGCAAGCTGGGTTTTGATTGTTCGTTTCTCCTCACATACAAAGTGTTAGTGGAGGGCCATCAAAGCCAGGGCTCTGTGGGTTTTGCCTCTTCATTCTCTCAGCAGAAGTGCTGCTGCAACTGCAGCTACTCACCTTGATTCTCCTGACACCTTGTCCATGTCTGTTGCCTTAAACCCTCTCCAAGGGAAAACACTTGTAAGTCAGAGGCCAAGATCTTAGGGTCTTTATCTGAGTTCTGGTACCAATTGCTTGGCGGAACAGATCTGTTATTCCCTGGCACACCTCCTGTGCTTCTCACCACACCAACCCTGTGTCTGGGCTGCTGCATTTAATGCAGTTTACACAATCTGATTGAAGTGAATTTGTTGGCTTTTATATTCACATGACCTTTAGCACCTCTGGTGATCATATTGTCTCACAAAGTCCAGGTCTTCCCTTCTCTGAACCTTTTCTGGTGTTACTGAGCCCTAGGATCTATTCCTCCAGCATCCTGGCGGCCTTTCTCCAGCAGCACAGTGGGTAAAACACAGCATTATTATTTTGTTTTATTCTTTATGTGCCTGCTGCTGTTGAGCACTAAGTTGTGTCCCAGCTCAAAGAGTGCCTTCCAAGGGCACTCCAGTCTGTGCATGTGAATGCTCAGTTTGGATTATACAGTGCTTGAGCTGCTGTGGTCCCATCCTAGCCCAAGGTCCCCAGTAATGGTAGAGCACCAGACTTCACTAACAGAGCAGACTGCTTTCAGATTCCTCTTCCAACAACCAAACTCTCACAACTTGATAAAGACCACTCAAACAAAATAATGGTTCCACTTGATCAACTAACTCTGGGTTTGGTTGCATATCGTTTATTTCAACTTGTACAGTGAAGCTTGAATACCTGTGTGGAAAAACACTTAGTTGTTGGTTTATTCTTTCTTCTTAGGTAATATAATTTAAAAGTGGTAAATACACAGTATTTAAACTTGATACACCTGATAAAGATAAATGCATAATAAAGGAGTAGGAGTGAAACACAAGCCTTGGTCATTAAACAAACAGTATAAAAAACAGGAATAGTTCAGGACCTTAGAAAAGAAACAGATCAATTGCCTGATAGGTAAGAGGGGACCACCATGGAAAACTACTCAGATAAGAGGCCTGGTTTCCCCTTAGCACTTTCCTGTGTGCTTTCAGAGCCAAAAAGGCTTAGTACCCAGCAATAAGCCCACAGTCAGCACTGGGCTTGCTTGGAAGGAAGGGGAGTTGGGGAAATCAAGCTATAGCCCAGTTCCAAGGCACAAGCAAAATGTTCACTTCACTATAAGGAGAAAGCCAGCATTACTACTAAGGAACAGCAGCTGGGGAACAGAGCAGGTTTATGTACACAGTACAGCTTCTCTAACAGGTCATGCATTTAGAGAGATCTCCCTCACACGGCCACGCTTTAGGCTTTCAACAGAGCTGACCAACCAGAAAAATCCACATTGCATTTATTTCCGAAATGTGCATTCGGCTGCAGCTCCACCAGAGCCTGCACTGAGGGACACTCGGTTTGGAGAGCACCTTGGGGAAGTGAATTTAGCATCCTTTAGAACCAAGCCCGTGCAGACAGACACTGATCAGTGGGAGTATCTGAGGCCCAGAGACTGGCTGGGCATTGGGGAGCTGGTACAGCTGTTGAGAAGCTGCATCACATCTGGCAGACCTGTTGGGTCAGTGTAAACTGTCTCACCTGACAAATCACAACCAGGGACGGGCAGCACAGAAATCTCTACAACACACCTCTAGCAAACACACCACACACACTACTATGCACTACCTACAAAGAATTGGATCCCCTAGCTTTTTACTTTTTTTTTTTGGCAGATCAAGCCCATTTGCAGGGTTAGAGAACCAGGCTGCCCACGCACACACATTTCCACAATGAAAAGTCCTGTGTAGGGGGAGCAGGCAGCTGCAGTAGTGCTGGCCCCCAAGTTACCTGTTTGGTTTTCCCATAACTGAAGCTGCAGGGCTTTGGCATAGCCTCGGACTTAAATGGGAGGAAAACAGTGCATGTCTTATGGCTCCAAACTCCATAGTATTGCTCCTAAACCACCAACTGTCCTCACTGGCTTTGGAGAGAGGCCAGCAGCACAATGCTTCCATAATAAATTGCAGTTTAGGGGGAACATCGCTTCAAGTGATCAAAAGATGTAAGGGACAGTTTGGGTAGGCATCTGCACCCTTGCTGATGCTGTCCTGGCTTTAAGAAAAGCCAGTCTTTACCGGGAATTACCAGGCCAGATCTGACTGCAGTGGGGCCAAGGACCTTGGCACGCTGCTGCTTGTGCTGTCCAGGATAAAATAAAGGAAGACAAGGGAACAGTCACTTTTTAAAGGCAGGGCATCCATGGCCAGGGTTAACAGGCAGAGACCTTACCATTAATCAAGACATTTGGCAGTCTCCTAGTGCCTTCTTCCTGAGGGCAAGGAATTACACCTTTTAAGTCCCTCACAAGCTTGGGAGACTCAAATCCTCCTTCTCTGTCAGGTACCTCAAATGCCTCGTTCAAGGTCACACAACCACATCAGACTGAGAAAGGAAAGAAATTAAACCTTTTTCCCCCTCGTCCCACGCTCCATCCACAGAACAACTGTACTTACCATGACCCCTTTCCTCGGGCAAACCTGGCTTCTCATTCTCCAGCTTTGTCCGAGCACAGAGAACTTGGGAAAGTGAGTCTGGACACCAGAGTCTCTCCCACCACATGGCAGATTATTATTTTGTACAAGCACCACAAATAATCAGAGTAATCTGACTGAAGGTGAAAGAGCTCTTCATAAGAAACAATCCATTAACTAGATATACACTTAATTTACTAACAAGCCTCTGATCCACAGGCATTCACAAATTACTGGTAACAAACTTGCAAAAAATACATAGCATTGGCCCCAGAATCGAGATTAAGAGTTTGGAAAACAAATGTTTCTTTGAAAATTACTAGCTAATCATTAAGATCTTAAATTCCAAGCAAGCCCTAAGTCTATACTTAAAAACCAGCATAAATTGTATTATTTTTAATTGTAGTAAACCATGTAATGTACATGGAAGTGAAGGATTTTACCCTGAATTTTATATTTTATAGTATATCTACCTAGATCAAGTAAAATATTTAGAAACAAACTTTTAGTGCTTCTTCTGTTGTTTAAACATTCTAAACACCACCTCTCACTCACATGTCTGCAGCAAAAATAGTTCAAACTGAACTTAAGCCCTTAAATACCTTTTCCTTTCATACACTGAATACCTAACTTACCAAGTCCTGGTCACACCAAGGCCTCTGGAAAGGTGTTAATTACCTGAGGAGGTAATTAACCTCACTTTTTGAACGTCCTGAAGATGCTGTTTCATACAACTTGGCTTACAAAGGTAGGCATTCTTTGAAAAGCTGAACAGGTGGGTTTTTGCTTTGTTCCCATGCAGTTAAAAAGGTGTCAATTAAAAACAAACCAGAACAACAAGAAATAGATGCAACAACATTCCTGGTAGGTCGTGAACTCTCAAAGTGCACACGTGTGGTTGGTTTTACTGCTGTGCATGCCACTTGGCAAAAGCTTCACCCTTCTGCACGTGCCCACAGCCACGCCATGGGCATCATGCCCCTGGGACGCTGGCATCAGTCACTGCAAATTATTTGGCATTAAAACCAGCTAAAAACAGTTCCAAATACATTTTCCTTTGGCTGCTCTGGGTTTTGTTTTGCAAAGCCCTGTTGCTGCTCACCACCATCGCTCACCTCTCCGCTGCCCGCCAGCGCCTCTCCCACCAGAAGTCAGCAGTCCAAGTGCTCAGAGATGTTCCATGTTTATGGCAAATAATCAGATGTCTGATAAGGTGTGATTAACATGCTGCTATGTGAGCTCTACATCCAGCATTGTACTGAGATAGCGCCATGTCATGCTGTGTTTGCTCTGGGCTCTGGTCACCTCGCCCCCAGCGCATGCTTGGTGACGTGCCCTGGATTGAGCTGCTCAACAGAACCATAAAGTTCAGGTTCAAGAAAGAAGCTCCTCCTCTCCCACATTGGGCAAGTCATTGCATTTCAGGTTATCTTCACTGCCTTGTTTCCTATTTTCAAAGGAAATAAAACAGCTGCTGAGTGACTCAGAAAAAGGGAAAGGAGACACCAGTTTTTAACCCTTCCCTGCCATGGGATCTTTGGGATGCTGAGCATGCATCATCTCTCACCATGTAACAGGCTGGAAGTGCCATAAAAAGATGTTTTTCATCTCATCAGAACAGCAGGATATTCCATGTCACAAACATCCCATAAAACAGTTACAGATCAGACAGGTGGGATGTGAATGTTGCAGTCATGGCCCCCATGAAAGTTTCAAAACCAAACTATTTAATTTCTCCTCCAGAGCATCAGAAAAAGCTGCAAATGTCTTTTGGGGCCGAGGTGAGGTGATGACACTTACGGCAGCAGGTTCCCAGAGGAAGACAATGGCCGCTCCTCTCTCTTGCTCCCCTCAAACGGGTTCCCAAAGGATCGCTTCCGGATCATCGTTTTAACCAAGATCTGCAAAACCAGAATGCAGTTCATTGGGGTGCTTCTCCTTCATTCAAGAGCAATAGGAACATCCAACTTGCATGCCCAAGTAATTAAAAAAAAAAAAATAGTGAAAACAGGTCAAAGTTCTCTATTAATAGAAATCAGAAGGAAGCATCTTTGCGAGTCTCCAACTGCTTAATACAGGAGCTTTAGCCTCATCTGAATCCCTTGCAGGTGAGAGCCACACTATGTATAAGAGGCTGGAAAGGAAAGCAAAGCCAAGTCTGGGAGGTTTCTTTCCTCTCCAGAAGTAGGTTTTATTGATTACTGCATCCAGTACCTGCAAATTCCCAGTCCTCCATGATTACCTGGCAAAATAATGCACTGAAAAGGGAGAGGGGAAGGAATTGGCACCATTTTACCTTAATGTTCATCTGAAACCAAACTGAAAGCTGGCTTTTTGTC